TTTGGGTGCTGGTACGTACATCCTTTTTTTTTCTTCCCCCTCCCTATAATAGGGTTTAGTATAGGAGTATGGCAGAAAACTAACGGGTGCGTGGATGTATAGGCATGGGTGGCCTGACCTGCGCTTTGGCTCTGGCAAAGGAAGGTTTCAAGCACATCGACGTTTATGAGAATGCACACGATCTGGGCTTCGTTGGAGCTGGTATCCAACTGGCCCCGAACATGGCCCGCGTGCTGGATCGCCTGGGCGTCTGGAAGCCCATTGAGGCCGAAGCTGTTAACATCACTTCCACTAGCGTTAGAGGTATGTGCTATATTCCCTGCTGGAGGATTAAAAGATCTACATGTCTATCTATATGAAACACCGAGATCAAACGCTAATAACTCCGAACAGTCGGTGCCTCGGACTCAGAATTGGCCCACGTTCCATTGGAATATATCCACGATACCTACGGATATCCTCACATGGTTGGCCACCGGTCTTCCCTCGCCGGCCACCTGTACCAAGGTTGCCTGCAGCACCCTGACCAGATCCACTTCCACTTCGCCACTACCGCCAGCGACACCACCTTCGGCCCCAAGTCCTCCTTCACTGCCACCCCCCGCGACGCCCCCGAGAAGGCCTACCGCGTCGAGGCCGATGTCCTCCTCGCCTGTGATGGCATCAAGTCCCAGGCCCGTGTGGCCATGCTCGATCTCCTCAACATCAAGGCCAGCGTCAAGGACACCCACCAGGCCGCCTACCGTATCATGATCCACAAGGACCAGATCAAGGACGACCCGGAGCTCCTGGAGCTCATGAACGGCAACCGCGTGACTCGCTGGATCGGCGAGAAGCGCCATATCATCGCCTACCCCGTCTCCAACAACACCATCTACAACCTCTCCACCACCCAACCCGACACTCACTTCGCCGCCGCCACCAATGCCACCTACACCACCCGCGGTGACAAGTCCGTCATGCTGGGCGTCTTTGGCGACTTCTGCCCCATGGTCCAGCGTATGCTGAACTACGTCCCCGAGGGTGAAGTCTGCGAGTGGAAGCTGCGTGTCCATGAGCCCCTCCCCACCTGGGTGCACGAGACCGTCGCCCTCGTCGGTGATGCCTGCCACCCTACCCTGCCCCATCTCGCCCAGGGTGCCGCCCAGGCCATCGAAGACGGTGGTGTCATTGGTGCCGTGCTCTCCAAGCTCCCCGATACCACCCCGGCTTCCATCCACAAGGCCCTCAAGGTTTACGAGAAGGTGCGCAAGGACCGCGCCTACGCTATCGTCGAACTGGCCGCCGCTTCCGGTCGTGCTCTGCACCTGGGTGAAGGTGCCGCCAAGGAGGAGCGCGATCGCCAATTCGCTGCTCTCCGCCAGGGCAAGGGCCCTGTGCCCGACAAGTGGGCGGATGCCGATGTCCAGAAGGAGCTGTATGGCGTTGATGCGACTAAGATCGCGCTGGAGCAATTCGACGAGCTCTTTGCTTCTGTGTAAGCTTTGGCCTTTATACCTTTTTCGTTTAATTTTTCCTTTTCCCATTCATTGCCTGCACGATTGAACCCGATGTATATTGTATATAGAGCTGATTGGTTGTATTGATGATTGAAGGTCGGGTCGTGAGGCAAAGCTGGCTTGATTGATTGATTGATTGATTGATCGGCCGGAATTAGTGTTCTTTTATCTAGCATTGCAGCCCCTTGCATATACAATGATGATGTTATGATTGTTATACAGAGTTATTTTCTTTGTTCCTAGATATACTCCTTTTCGTAGATGCATCCATTGTGTGAATGTATACACCCGTAGTTGTACCAGGACGGAAGTGGTTGGTTGCATACTTAGTCTCGTTTGTTAGTGTCATGCGCTGGAATTTACCCCGGATTTTCAGCCCCTCCTTTAGGAATGAAAATCCTACCAAATCCAAATCAAACCCGAGGGGTTGGACCCCTTGGTCCTTGCACTCCGGCCAGGCAACAACAATTGTATTGGTTTACCCCTCGAGTTTGTATGGGAGATACACGATTCTAGCGCTGCACTTCCAAGACAAATCAGTATCTGGGGTCTACAATTTTCCCCCCTTCCCCACCATTGCGGGGATGCTAATTTGAAAAGAATTTATCCCAGATACACGTGAGTAACTGGCCATTAGTAATTATGTGATGTCTTATGTAGTCTACATACTAGAGCACAAATTTTGGTACAAATTATGGTCCCCGATAATATCTGAAATCGGGATTTGAATCAGACGTGCGGGATTAGCTAGGATCCATTTCTGCCTTGATTTGATAGATCCAAAGAATAGGTACCGGACAAAAGGGTTTCGACCCAAATTTGGAGAATGGAAAAATCTACACTAGCGACGTTCTCGCATGTTAGTGGTTTTACTTAGATCGAAATGTATTCACGGAAGCAAAGTCCATGATAATGAACTCTATGTACTTGGCATAGCCAGCTTATGCACAAGCCTCGGCAGCAAAAAGTAACCTGGTCTAAGCTATGATTTAACCTTCTTATCAGATTGTTGGTGACGGTGGCAAATCGAAGAATCCAGAACAATTCCAATTGAAAAATACAGCAAATCATGCTTTGGGGAAACTTCCGGCTTGGCGCGCCGCGCTGAATCAGCCAGTGACGGGGTGGCTCTTGCCGCATCGGGCAACTAGCAGGGGTCCTGGTTGCCTTTCGTCTTTCGTCTTTCTTCCTGCGGCGCTTCCTTTTCTGTTTCTTCTTCTTCTCTTCGTCTGTCTGCGTGTCCCCGGCTTGTTCTTTCCCCTCCAACCAGTTCAGTTGGATATGCAGGGTTCTTCTGATGCCAGCAGCGCGTCTGACGACCTGTCACCATCCCAACCTACTCTCGACTCCGCCCCGTCCGACAACCGCAACAACTTGAAGATTGCCATCCCTCGGCTGGCGCCGCCCGCCGTCAAGGCTAACCAGCAACGCACGCCACGTGCCTGTGTTGCCTGTCGCGCCAGAAAGACCAAGTGTGATGGTCGCAAGCCCGTTTGTCGCCAGTGTCATCGTCTTGATCTCGTCTGCAATTATGCCGGTTCTAAGCGCGAGCGGCAACAGTTGGAGCTGGAATCCGTTCGCAAGAAAGTCGTCGCCTACGAATCGCTTCTGAGCGACATCATAACCGATACGCAGCAGACGGGCGCTTCTTCCATTGGGGACATTCTTAATGTGCGTAGTGCCTTCTATGCTGCCAACTCTATCTTCCCATAGTGTGAAAACACTGCCATACTGACCGGTTGCCACCTCCCCCGCAGAGACACTTTGAAGCATCTCCAGATGTCTTTGCGGCGCTGCTAGCTGCCAGATCCATTTCGGATCCTCAACTCTCACCGCGGCCAAAACCGGGGATTTCTCTAAATCGCATGCACATAACATTGGCCACTAAACCTAACAGCACCCTGCATCCTCTCACTGAGACCCCTTTAGTACAGGTCAGCAACATTCAATCCTGGACCGACCTTGTCGATAACACCACAGCCAGTCACCTTCTCAGCCTCTTCTTCGCCTGGGAGAACCCGACATGGCGCCTAGTCGACCAGGAAATGTTCCTCCGCGACCTGGAGAGCGGGAGTAAGCGGTTTTGCTCGTCGCTGCTCGTCCACACGCTCTTGTTTTTCGGCTGTGTAAACGCCACTGCAGTCTGATGTCGAGTACTGAACGTCAACGACTAACGTTTCTCAATAGAGCTCTTCTTACCATCTGGGGCGCATCACTGATCGGCGGGAGGAGAAAGCCCTGGGCAAGAAGTTGTACTCTGCCTTGCAACATCTGTGGCAGTCAGAAAAGGATGATGCTGGTCTTCCCACGGCCCAGTCCAGCATCATGATCGGCCTGCTTTGTTGCACCTTTGGCATTGACCGCTTGGGGACCCGTTACATCATGCATGGCGCCCAGCTCAGTCGGCAGCTGGGGCTTCACCACGAGTCGGCTCCTTACTTTGCTACCGACGTAGAGGCCGAAGTCGACTCGTTATCCCGGTGTCATAAGTTCGTTGCTTGTGGCGTTTTCGATGTGCAGGCGTAAGCGTCGACCCCTTATGTACGCTTGGGCCCTGACTGATGAGACACAACAGGCTCGCGGCACAAGTTTATCGAAAGACACCGGTTTGGGATCACCCTCCTGCTGCGAGCTTCTCGCAAGAAGAGGCTGCGCTGTTGGATGAAGGCGAAGAATGGAGGCCCTATCCCTTTCAGACCCCGGCTTTTCGGCCGTTTCATCACACGGCGTTGTGCTTCCGCAACAAACTGGTGGCGATTGTCAACGAGACCGCCAGGTTCGCGCTCAAGTTTCCGGACGTCAAGCTCACCCAAGATGATTGGATTTACGGCCGTCAGACTTATCAGAGGCTACAAGAGTGGCGGGCAAGTTTACCGTTCGCCATTTTGCCGGATGTAAATCCTGCGCCGAATATTCTTACACTTCAGTGAGTCTTGGCATTAATTGACACAGGGTGCCTTACTAACGGCCGGCTGCAGCATGTACTATCAGGCAACGGTCGTTGCGTTGTGCCAAATTTTCAGTCTAAATGCCGACCCGACAAATAGTCAGCCTCTCGATCCAAAGTTCGACCCAGAGTTAATCAAGTTACAATCCCTGGATACACTTGGATCCCTTGTTCTTCGGTTCCAAGCATCCCATGGGCTCAAATCTGTTCCCATCGTGATGCTACATTACTTCCTCGTGGGCGGCTTGCACGCCATCTCGCAATTACGTCCTATGGACTTCAAGTGGAGCTTTGTACTAGAGGCATGCGTGGTCGGGCTGTGGCACCTGAGCCTGGGGTGGGGGCGCATGTGTACGGCATTTCTGCGGACGATTGAGCTTGTCTTGCAAGCTACCAAACCGGACCCAACCCTGGTGCCGCCCAAGGTGACCGCTGTGTTGCGGCTCCTTAAAAGCAATCTTTGGACAGCAACCGATGTTACTTCTCTGTCCGCCGACTATGTGGTGCATCATGTCCCGGCTGCTGCTGCAGGACAATCCGGGCCGCAGTTTCGGGCCGAAGGGCTAGAACAGCTGATCCGCTCCATGGACAATTTCGCCATCAGCTAGTGGGCGGTGAGGACGGCATTCTGCCGTTTCCTGAATCATTCAAACGTTTTCCGTATACGATCGTCAGAACTAGACCGTATTCGGCAAGCTCTGCAGCTCCAGCAACCAACCTGGAGTCTGCCTCTCGGCCTGCTTGCGTCAACCATACGATGGAACATCAGCCAGCTCCGACAAACAGAGGCTACCATCGTCACCTTCTGACGAAGACCCACAGTCATCCCCGCGCTGATGCATAACAGTCCCGCCGTCAGTGACAGTATCGCTAGGTGGGTACATCTGCGAGGAGTATTGGACAGTTGAACTCTAGCTCTTGCACGGGTTGTGATGGACAGGTATATGGTACATGTGTATACCTTGGTAGTAAATGCACCAGAGTCCTGTCACTTTGATGTGATTATCTTTCGTGTTATAAACCAGTTGATAATATGCTGCTTGATAGTGAACAATCAATTCTCAATGCATATTAAAGCACATAGTTAGAATCCAGTCATCTACCTTGACAATTCAAATCAAATCATAACGCCATCCAAGCTCCTGATGCATCTAACTCCTTTCAAACAATCCAGCAAGCCAACAAACCAACCTAACCAGTAAACCAACCATTCAATCATCAAATACGGTAACACACACATAACACTTTCCTCCCCTCTCTCTCTCATCCCTCCCCCAACCCAAAACACAATAAATCACTTACTCCCACTGCCCCCTCCCCAACGCCCCCAACCGATTCCTAGCATGTTTCTCCAACAACGCCTTCATATTCCCCGAACTGCCTCCTCTCTCCTGCACCCTCAACTGCCTCTCCCTCTCCCTCTCCCTAGCGGCAGTATAATAATTCACTGCTCCGCTCTTGCCCCCCTTTCCAGAAACATTCCCCCCTTTGCTGCTCGTTGACGACACCGAACCACCACTCTTCGTTGTCCTAGACGATACACTACTACCCACAGACGATGTAGATGAAGCTGTAGTCTTCCTGATGAGTGGCGGGCGGGCGAATCCCGAGAAATCGGAGCCTGCAGCGCCTGAGCTGCCGGAGTGGAATGCCATTCTGTTTCCGCCTGGCGCTGCCGCGCCGCTGGAGTTGGTGTTGGTGGAGTTGTTGGTGGCGGAGTTCGAGGATGCTTGGCGGAGGAGAGCGAGGCGGTCGACGACGGGGCCGCGGGTGCGGCGAGGATGTTGGCGTTGGGAGGCGGGGAGGGGTTGTTGTTGTTGTTGTTCTGTTGATGGTGATGTAGATGTTGATGTTTCTTGGGCGCCGTCTTGGGATTGTTGTTGTTGTTGTTGGTGGTGAGTGATGGTGGTGGAGAGGGGATCGTCGCCGTCTTCGTCTGTGTCGTTCTCCATGTCTATATCCATGTCGTCCATGTCTATGGATGCGTCCTCGTGGAAGGAGTCGTATTCGTGCGTCTCCGTGAGGAAGGATAGTGTTTCGCGGATTTCTGCTAATGTTGCAGGTTTCTTGGACATTGCGGAGACGGGTTTGGTTCGGCGGAGATGCGGTGGGGGGCGGGGTGGAAGGGAGTGGGTTTCGGATGTGGGATCTTGGTCTAGGGGGCGTTTGCGATTGTTGCTATTGTTGTCGTTGGGTTGGGGTGTGGTGTTGTCTTGTGAGGATGGGTCGTCTGTTTGGGTGGATTCCTGTGGCTCGTCGAGAAAGTCGAATCCCACGTCGTCGTCTGAGTCGCGGTCTTCGACGGCTCGGAAGAATGCTGCTTTCTTGGGGTTTTCGGCGATTTCGCCGATCTTCTCGTCTGCGAGGAGGGCTTTGCGCATGCGTGCGAACTCGCGCTGTTTCTCGCGCCGGCGGGCGAGGAGCTCGTCGTCTGAGTCGTCGAGGTCGAACTCGTCGTCGGCGTTGCGACGGCGGCGGAGTGCGCCTGTGGTGATGTCTTTGAGCAGTTTGGCGACTTGTTTTTCGTCGTTGGTGCGTTGGTGTAGACTTGAGAGTTATTTGTCAGTGTCTGAGTGGGGATATATGGTTGGATTTGGGGGAAGCTTACGCATTCAGGGCGGCCAGCTGTTTCTCGTCGACGGTTTCGCCGCTGTTGTCGTTGATCATTTGTCTGTCGTAGGCGTTCTCGGTTTCATCGTCGTCCTCGTCGCTGGCGCCTCCTAGCCCGGCGTATTCGTCGTCGGACTCTTCGGCTGCTTCTTCGACGATATCCTTGGCTTTGCTCTTCTTGCGGTCGAAGGGAACGGTGGGCTTCTTGGATGCCTTCTTCATTACGTCGAAGGCACTGGCGTCGATTTCAAAATCGCCCTCACCTTTGTTATCTTCTTGCTCTTCGATCATGGACAGGTCGGCTGTCCGTCCGCGCTTGAGCTGCTTCATTCTGCGGGCGGGGGCTGGAGAGCCATCTTGGTTGTCGCGGTTGATGACGACAGTGTCGATGGTTGACTGGGGAGTCCCGAGGAATCGCTTGTTAGGATCGAATGGCGAGAAGACAAATCCGGCATCCTGGGTGGGATCTGGCACCTGGGAGAGCTGGGTCGACCGCGGAGCAGGAGACTCGGAGATTCGTGAATCGGACTGTGCATAGCCTGCTAGCAAGTCGACAGACTCCTTTCTTGGCTCTTGGCTGTCTCTGATGATCGTCTGCGAGTCGGACGCTTGACGGTCTTCAACCATCGCATCTGGGTCAGGAGCAGAATAAGGCATCGTAGAGCCGCTTTGTGCGTTATCCTGGTGGCTGCCAGCAATTGTCCCGGCGAAGGCCTGCGTTAGACTCATCAGGTTGCTGGAGCTCTGCGTGGGGAGTTGCGGCCGTTCAACGGAACGTGTAGTAGGCGTAACGATGGATTTCGCAGGTGTCTTTGGATCTGTCTCCTCATCCTCATCGTCATCGTCATCGAGGACGACTCTGGTAGGCCGTTTCCGTCTCTGCGTTGGCGCGTCGTTCTCATCAACCGACATGACTTCCGTCTGGTCATCTTCTGATTCATCGCCTTCGCCTGCTTCGGAATCGACAAGCCCGTCTTCACCGGCAGGCTTGTCTTCGTCATTCTCTTCCTCATCTTCCTCCTCGCGTTCCTCCTCAGAACCAGAATAGTCCCAGTCCTCGTCGTCCTCATCTTCGCCCTTAGCCGCTTTTCGTTCTATCTTAGCGATATCTTCAGCCTCTTTCCGGGCCTTCTCAACAAGATTCTCGAGCTCATCCTCCATGGCGGCGCGTTCTTCCGCTGTCTCGATATGGATACCCTTAGCTTTGAGTTCCTCGATTCTCTCCTGTCTCTCCCTTGCAGCTTGTTGCTTCGCCTTCAGCAGTACCGTGGCGGACAATTGGGCAGGGTGCATGGTGGATTTCCGTGTAGGAGATGTAATATGCGCCAGAGCTTTCAGCTTCATCATAGACGCCGGTTCCTGAGCCTTTCTGGCGGGGACATTCTCGAAAGCTGCAATACGTCGACACTTGGCGGGGGAGGTGACAATTTCGAGCTCACTGTCCGAGTCGTCCTTCTGTTGCCGAGCGACCTCCTCGCGTGTGAGACGCACGCGAACAGGTGGGCCCGTTAAAATCTTCTTCTCCTTCTTGGAAGGTGTCTTTCCAGGCTGTGTGGTATGCGCTTCATCAATTTCCATCCTCGCTACAACAGGCTGTTCGGGCTGCGTGCGCGGATTCGCAAGAATATCCTCCAAAGGACGGAACTCGGTCTCCGCTTCTTTGCCGAGACCTTCACCAGATGCCTTCTCGACCGGTCCAAGGACAGGCGAAGTACGCGGAGTCTCTTTTTCCTTCTGCGCCTCAGCATCAGACGAGTTCAACGAATCAGCAGTCGTCGACGAGTTCTCCCCGGACGTCCCAGGCGCAGTCCGCTCATCAGGCTTCACCGCATTAAACCGAGCAAAGAAGCTCTCTTTCGTGATCTTCTTCTTCGTCTGAGCCTGATGCGCCAGCTGCATATTACGACTCATCCGCTGCGTCTCACGATTCATCTCCTCCAGAGCCTTCTTGCCCGCCTTTCTCGCAGGACGAGACGCCTGCTGCGTTAACTTCCGTCCAGATCCATTCTCGCCCTCGCTCTCACTACCAGACAGAATCTCCGAACTGAATTGTTCTTGTTGCTTCATTCTCGCAGCTCTCTTTTCAGCCTCTGCTTTCTCCTTCTCCTCCCGCTCCTTGCGCTTCTGAGCAACTAGCGCCAGGAACCGAGAATTAGCCTTCGGCTGTGCCTCCTCCTCATTACCAGACCCTGCTTCATCTTCATCATCCTGATCTCTCCCAGGAGACGAGACAAACAAAGGCGACTCCGAGCGCGCCGGAGACGGCGACCGATTCTGTTCATCCATCTCAAGCTCCGGAACCAGTTCAGTAGAATTCCTCCCTCTCCTCCTCGGTCCAGCCGCAGGAAGATCATCCTCATCCTCATCGTCCATCATCGCATCGTCTTTCTTCTCCGTCCGCAACGTCTTCGAAACCCGTTCGAAGGCCGTCTGCCCCGCAGCAGACTGGCCTTGTAACCGTGCAGCCATTCGCCCCTTCGGCATGACAATATCTTCATCCGAATCGTCATCATCATCTGAGTCAGCCGTATTCGTAGGCTGTGTGGAGATAGTGCTGTGTTTCAACGCATTGCTGAGCGTAGTGGTAGATCGATCGGGTTTCTGTTGTGCTTGTACGTTTTCTGTATCAGAGTCGCTGTCGAAAGCTGCCATCAAGGCTTTGATCTTGCGTCCCGGCGTGAGCATCATGTTGTCGTCGTCGGCGTTGGGAGAATTTGCGCGAGACGCGGTGCGCGTCGTGCGCGGTGTGGAGGGCGTGGATGACATTTTGTATTGAGACTGGGATTGGGTATTGGGTATTGATGGGGTGTATGTATTAGTTAGGGGTATGGGTAGAGGACATGTCTATGGATATTTCAAAATATGAATTGAGGTCAATGGAGATGTGCACGGTGGTGTCCACAGTGGGAGGAACGCAAGGGCGGAGAATCTACGGGGTGGTACTAATTGACTAGTCGGGATAGCAGAGTATAGTAAGTAATGGACGCGCCGCGCACGCGTTGCTATCACACGTGATCTGCCGATAAGCCGCGTTATCGGCCACAATCTACGGATTACTACGGAGTATTGCGGAGGTCCAGAAGCTGCGAAGAAAAGCGTAGATTTGTACAACTGGTGAAGCCAATTCATAAAGGTGCTTTATTTCTGTATCGTACAGCGCCCATGATATGTTTCTCGTTACGCCAATAAACACCGCCCCCTGGAATCCGACGCTGTCTCAAATGCTTCCCGAATAACAAAATCGTGCCATTTCCATCAGAAGCCGTCGGCAAGATCGCATATGCTGTATGTAGGATGCTAGTGGTGTGCTAGATGTGCCCAAAGTTTTTCCTTACCCAAGATCATATTTCAATGTCGAGCTCCAAATCCAAGGCCGCAATGTTTTCGTCATCCATGTTCCGATGCCGGATGGAGGCAACGCCACCTTTGCTGGTTTTCTTCTGGGATCCCGCCGGGGTGCCGCTGGCCGGAGTGCTCGCTTTGGACGGTGTCTCTGAAGCAGTATTTTCTTGGCTCGCGTTATTCTCAGCCGTCGGGGTACCGTTACCATTGACGTCGTAATGGGTCCGCGCTTGGGTTCTAACGCGCATGAACGGGTTGTGGGCGGCTTCGCCACGAGCGACAGCTGCAGCCGCTTTACGGCTGGCCTTGCGCTCTTCTATCTGCGCCCGGCGCACGTTCTCGTAGTTGAGCTTCTGGTTGCGTATGTTCAGCTCAGCAAGACGTTCATGTTCCGAGGGCTTGTCCACACGCGGCTTGGAATGGCTGCTAACTGCGAGCTTCGGTGTCGCCATGCTAGCCAGCTCAGCCTCCAGTCGCTCCATTTCCGCATCATCACCAGCTTCTCGAGCAAGCTTCAGCTGCTTCTCGACCTCCACGCGCTTGAAGAACTTGGACTTCGAATCCAACGAGCCTTGTTTGCGGAGTTTCTCGTTCAATTCCTCGTTGGTGAACTTGTGGTTCAGCAACCGGTTGATATCTGTCACCTTACTGGCAACCATTGACTTCGTAGCCATCTTGCAGTCTTCGACGGCCATGGTTTGACGATAGCGATTGAACTCCGCCTACAGAGCATCAGTATATGTTAACCAAGAGACATGCCAAGTGGCTTACCTCTGTAAACGGAGAGTCGGAGCATGCAACAAAAGGAAACTCGCGCTCAGCCTTTCCATGTGCTAATACGGCGTACTGATTCGTCACAAAAGACCGGCCATTTTGGCCCTCCATCGCATAGGGCTTTCCCTCGGAAAATTCTGGACAAGTCAGCGACGAATGCTCTAACGCGACCGTAGGAGGGGTGCCTTACTCTTGATCAAGCAAAGACGATACTCATTCTGACCGGTCTCACGGTTCGGCCCAATATTAACACGAGCATAGCAGCCGGAGATCGCGTCATCAAACCCAGGGTAAAAGCAGACCTGGGCAAAGTTACTTCGACCCACCCGAGTACGTTGGATATCCCGGAGTTCAGCAGGCGGGTCGTCTTTCGGGGGCGACGGTGAGCGTTCTCTGTCATCCCACTCCACTTCACTTTCGCCCTCTGCATCTTCGTCGGAGATCCGGTCATCACGAGAACGGGCTTTATGATCCTTGACTGGTTCACGACGACGAAGCTCGTCACGCTTCCCCTTCTGCTCTCGCTGCCGCTTGTAGGCTTCAATAGCATCGGAGGTCTCTCCCACCTTACGGCCACCGAGCGTCATCTTCTGACGCGAACTCTTGCGATTACCCTCATCAAGATTTGCCACACTGGCCTTGCGTTTGTTCTTCTTCGCTTTGCGGGCCTCTTCGCGTTCACGGGAAGCCAGGAGACGACGAAGAGCAAGATCTTGATTATGACGATCAACCTGCTGCGCACGCTCGGAAAGCAGCTGCTCTCGTTGGATCTCGGGCATCGCCATGATTTCCTCCTTGTCCTTAGCAGAGTAGTATAGTTTCTCGTAAGGGAAGATAGGGCCTTCATCTTCAGCCTCAGGGGCTGAGCCTTCGGAATCCGATCCTGAATCCGATTCGGACATGCTAGCGGAGTCGAGCGATTCAGCAGCGGACCTATAGAGAATGCCATATTAGCCGAGTCCTCGAGTCGCAGTGACGGCCACATCAAGCGGCATCGCAAGCACGCGTGGCAAGTCAAACATACAGTTCGCCATCCTCTTCATCATCGTTCCTTCTCGACTTCCGGCCCCGTTTAACGGTCCTAGCAGTGCCTTTGCGACCCATAGCTGATGCGTCGGGAGACTGAGGGGATGATGATCGACTGCGAGATTGGACTCTCTCCTTGGCAGGGGGGGATGCTTCCTCGTCGGAGGAGTCTCCCGCAAGAGCGAGGAGCTCGGCGTCGAGGTCGTCAGCCATAGTGAATGATGGTAGAGGTTGCCTTGAAATTCAGGTCCTAGTAACACCAGTAACAAGGAAAGCGGCGCTAGACTGCTCAAGGAAGGAAGCCGCCAGCAGGAGAATGGATGGCTTCCAGGGTAACAGATGCCACCTGAACCGCAGTCGCGCCGAGTGAAAAGGGACTTAGGTGGCCAGAGAGCGTTGACTCGGACGAGGTCGCTCTATAATAATAGTGGAGAACACCCTCAGAGACTAGTATTAATAGAGTCGCGTTTCGAAATAGAAGGTGGAAGAGGCAGGAAACCAGTGAATCCTGTCGGGGGCGGTGTGTGAAGGCGAAGGTGGTTAGTGAAGTGAAAGAGCAAAGCCGGGAAGTGAAAAGAAGCGATTGGAGCGATTCTCGACGCTCGTTCATGACGTTCCGGTCCAGGGATGGCGTGCCAAGGCGTGTAAGCGCGCGGCTGCGGCTTATCGATCGGGTTGGACCACCTCGGAACTCATGGCTGCTGGTGGCATTCCTCCGCGGCCTTAAACCTCGCCCTGAGTCCTTGAACGGCCTTTCAATTGACCGTTGGATATTTTATCTTTATCATGAAGGCCCTCAGATTGCTCCGAAGGGCTCCGCTGGCCCCTTCCCTTCGGCCTACACCTCCCGCCGTCCTCGACTTTCTCGCGCCTTCCACTTTACAAACTTGTCGCCAGTATAATTCTACAGCTCCACGGCAGTCCGCAGAGAATCCCTCCGTGTCACAGCAGACATCCGGATCATCGAAACCGAAATATGTTCTTAATCAGCAACAACGCGAGTTTCTCGACCGAGCCCTCCGCGTCAACCAGGCCGGCGAGCTAGCGGCCACCTTAATTTACACGGCGCAAACACCACAAGTCGTGCGCTCTCATCCTCACCTACGGCCCTTGATGAAACATATGTACGATCAGGAAGCGGGGCACTTTGATACGTTTAACCATCTCATTGCGAAACACCGCGTACGGCCGACGGCGATGTATCCGGTATGGGAGGTTGCAGCGACGTTCCTGGGCTGGTCTACCGGAATGATGGGACGCGAGGCGGCAATGGCGTGTACTGAAGCTGTAGAAACCGAGATTGGGTCCCACTATAATGATCAAGTACGGGAGATCCTGTCCTGGAAAGCGGAGGCTGAAAGTCGGGGCGAAGAGCTGGATGAAGAATTGGAGGAAATGCTGGCAACTTTCCGACGAATTCGCGACGAGGAGCTGGAGCATCTGGATCATGCTGTTGAGAACGACGCGAAGGAAGCTCGTCCATACGATCCGCTGGTCAATGTCATCCGCTACGGGTGCAAGGCAGCCATCAAAATCAGCGAACGGGTGTGAGCACACTTTGGGAGGTCCTAAAGCAGGACGGTCAAAAATTGTAAATGTACGATAAATTCTGTATTATTATCATCTTGGTTTGTCACACTTGTATAACTTCGTGTAAAGGCCTGACTATTCGCTCAGCGAGTCTATAACTGGGTATCTACAACCAAACGCGCCCGCTGCTTCTATCACACGGCACACTCTATGAAAGTCAAGCTCTCTATAGCCCCCTCCAACTTAGTTTTCCGACTCCGACCTCTGGTTCTTTTCCAAGTACTCCAGGAAGCTTTTCGAAAAGCGCGTCACCTGCTGATAAACCTCCTCGAAGCCGTTGACCCCCCCATAGTAGGGATCCTGGACAACCTCACCTCCGCCGACGCGCTCGTGCAAGACACCACCGGTACCAAAGTCGCCGAATAGACGGACCTCCGCAACCTTGGCGCCTGCTTCCCCGCTCGCGGCAAGGGATGCCGCAGTCGCTGCCCGGGTACCCTTGGTGCCACGCGATGCGGGGCCAGACTTGTTCATAGATGCCAGAACCGACTCACGAACATCCAACAGATCGCGCAGGTTATATTTATCCATTGCAAGGAGGTAGTCAAAGTCGAGGAAGTCCTGCTTGGTGACTTTGCGGGCGGCATGGTTGTAATTGCGAATGTTGTGGCGACGGAGCGTGGACATGGTGCGAGAATCGGGATCTTCGCCGGCGTGGTAGGCACCTGTGCCGGCGGAATCGATTTCATTGATTAGGGGATGGGAGGCTGCGACATTGCGGAAAACCCCTTCTGCCATGGGAGAACGACCTGGGTGGTCGGGTTAGCTTGCGGTGCAGTTTACACCATAATGCGGGGAGACCAGTACAGATGTTGCCGAGACAAACGAAGAGGACATTGACTTGCCCGCCAGCGGGGGTAGACTTTGTGACTGTCATGGTGGTTCTATTTGTTGAAATTTTCTATTGGAAAATCTATAACTTGAAAGAATGATGAATGAGTTCTGGTTGAATGTAGAGAGAAATTGATTCAGTAGTGGTGATTAATTATTGATGGTGGCGGGGATTTGGAGCAGAATCTTTATCGATAGCGAAGGGCGGTGGTCCGTGCCTGATTCCTGAGGCGACCGCGCATTGTGATTATGTTGCGCCAGATTCCTCCCACATCAAGTTTGGCTCTGTCTTTCCTTCGTCTTGGTGCATGTTGTTTGCATATGCAGTCTAATGCGCGCTAAAATATAGACAGACATCGTGGAAGGACTGCGAGAATTCAGTAGAGACGTGCTAGCATGGCAGCTACAAATGCCGACCCAGCAGGCGTCGCATTTGAAGACGTAAAAGTCATATGCTATAGATTCTAGTAATGTTAGAAGTATATCTAGTCTAAATATTTACTCACATAAAGCCATTTGTGCTAATCTTCTCGCGAACGCGTAGGATCCTGTATTTCAATATTCTTTCGGGGCAGCTTTGGCTGCCTAAGAATGATAGCACACCGGGCATTTACTATCTACTACATGAACAAAGCACGGGAACATTCAGGCAGCATCTACTTACAATTTGATGAAGCATTGCGATGTTACGCGTATCTGTGCCGTCGATGGCAAATGATATGCCTTGTCAATCCACCATTTTCACAGTGCTTTCATATATCCACACTACAGTCTAACTAGACTGTTCTTAGTCCGATGAATTAAAGTGAGACCCTCCGCCAACTATGACGTCGCGCAGGGCTGTATGATCCGAGATGCAAACAGGCAGCTGCTTTTCCCACCCCATCAGAGACAGCCAAGCTGCCTGCAGGTTATAAAAAGAACATGATCCATAAGCGCGACCATTGAACCCTGCTGTCTAACGTGTTCAACACAAGAATTGTCAGACACCGCCACGCAACCCGTGGCTGTGACACCTGGGGGCCGATCAGCTGTTGGCCCAGTGATAGAGTGGAGTTCCGATGAGCCATGGAGCCAAAACTCAGTATCCATGGGTGTTTGGGCGGATTGTTTCAGGGGACAGAAAGTCGGACAATTGTCTTGTGAGGTTCTAGTGGGACTCAGGTACACCATGAAAATTGATAGCATGTAGTTCATCAATCCATAGCTTAATAACCAGAAAAATCATGCAATATCAAAGGCGCCGTGTGCCTCGTGGGTGCCTGTAGAAACGCGAGTGGAGACACACATTCTTTTGTTATGACCCCAACTTCGGTCGGGATGGCCCAATAAAGGCAAGTAAGAGAGCGAATCCACTTGACTAGAGAGGCTGATCCTCGCGCTGATTCGTACTTTGTGCTCTGCCGGACTCTTCAATCTATCCCAGTCTGCTCGTCGTCATTGATCGTCCCCGCGGTTCCTTGGTCAACGGGCTTCATCTTTTTCCCACCCTCATCCTGCAGTGTTAGTTATTTGTTAGTACAACGGATTAGTGTTCCTGTCCGTGGCGCTGCGGCGACGAGACCGAACCGCCGTCACGAGCAAAGCCCACAGCCCAAAAAAGCTGTCGTCTGCCAAAGATCGGTTCAACCATTCTTTCTTTCTGACATCCTGACCTCGTTTATTACTTTGATTATTCTTCATTTCCCCTCTTCCTTCTCCTGTCCCGTCCGTCCCTTATTTCCCCATAATTCAGACTCGCCTATCCGAATCTGAAACTCCCGTCAGCGACGGAGCCTCTGCGCTATCGCAGCGACTTGAACGCTCGCCGATTCCCACATTCCCCCAGTCCCTCCTGGCGCAATCTCCAATCTCGATTTCCCCCCCTTAGCCAGGAATTCACGAAGGGGGCTGGTTTATTGGAACGCTTAATTGTCCGAGGCACTATCGGCCATAATGTCCTATAATCGCTTGGGTAAGTTCTTAATTATTTCTCCGCTGCTGGTCTACTTGGGACAGATTGCGCGGCTGTGAGTTGTCGCGCATTCTCTCCCTTCTCCGCATCAATTTCCCTCCTGAAACCCTAGTGTCGGGAGCGAGCCTTACTATACGAGGGAAATCTCTCGTATCTGCATGCGAGGAGCTATAGACATTTTGTGTCTGTTGTGCTGTCACCGTCGCACCGCCATTCCACTCTCAATTGCGCATCCCGCATAAGGCGTGTACACTGACCGTCGAGTGCAGGAGACCCCTACGGGGAGGAAGACAGTCACACCCCCATGATGAATCCTCACCATCTCGATGCTCGATCCCCGTCACCGGGCCGGCCATTAAACGCCTACCAGCTTTCCGATAATCCCTATGCGCCTCGCGAACACCTGGAGATGCCCTCTAGCGATCGGCTGGCAGAACAACCAACGGTACGGATGTTTTTGGAGTTGTGAATGATGATGATGATGCTGATTTCCATGCTCGTCAACTAGTACTCGGTCGAGAGACTCCCTAACTCTTATGGTCATAACGAAGTCTACGAAGATCACCACCACCCTAATGCCTACCCTGGATACGAATACTCCCTTGACCCAGAAGCGCATCACGACGCTTACTATACCCAACCTTACCAGCCGGCGGTAACGCCGCATGAAGACTATGACTTGGGGCAGTATCCCGAGCATCAGCAATCATATACCGACGATCGGGTCCCTATCCTACAACCAGATAACCCATTTGGGCCGGATCCTTATGCCGATGAGTATGAAGAAGAGCCCACGATCGCACCCACGCCTAGTCCGGCGCCGGTTCGTCGATGGAAGACCGTCAAAGAGGTGCAACTCTTCAACGGTAACCTCGTGCTGGATTGCCCGATTGCGCCCGCTCTGCTCAGCCAGGTCCCTCACGCCGAACCACCAGGTCGAGATGAGTTCACGCACATGCGTTATTCGGCCGCCACGTGCGATCCAGCCGACTTCTTCGAGGAGCGCTTTACTCTGCGTCAGAAGCTTTTTGCCAAACCTCGGCACACGGAGCTTTTTATCGCGGTCACCATGTACAATGAGGATGATTTCCTCTTCGCTCGGACGATGATCGGTGTGTTCAAGAACATTGAGTACATGTGCTCCAGGACATCAAGCAAGACGTGGGGCAAAGATGCCTGGAAGAAGATTGTGGTGTGTGTCATCAGTGACGGTCGTGCGAAGATCAATCCGCGAACGCGCGCTGTCCTTGCTGGTTTGGGATGCTATCAGGATGGAATTGCCAAGCAGCAAGTTAACGGCAAGGATGTCACAGCACACATCTACGAATATACCACGCAGGTGGGTCTAGAGTTGAAGGGGGGCCAGGTTAGCCTCAAGCCTCGGACTGGATGCCCCGTTCAGATGATCTTTTGTCTGAAGGAAAAGAACCAGAAGAAGATCAACTCGCACCGCTGGTTCTTCCAGGCATTTGGTCGCGTGCTGGATCCCAATATCTGCGTTCTGTTGGACGCGGGTACCCGGCCCGGAAAGGACTCGATCTACCATCTTTGGAAGGCCTTCGATGTTGACCCGATGTGTGGAGGTGCTTGTGGTGAGATCAAGGTCATGTTGTCGCATGGAAAGAAGCTGCTCAACCCGTTAGTTGCCGGGCAGAACTTCGAGTACAAGCTCAGTAACATCCTTGATAAGCCGCTGGAGTCTGCTTTCGGATTCATTTCCGTCCTTCCGGGTGCCTTCTCTGCCTACCGATACGTTGCGCTGCAGAACGACAAGAACGGACAAGGTCCGCTCGAGCGGTATTTCCTGGGAGAGAAGATGCACGGTGCTAATGCCGGTATTTTCACGGCAAATATGTACCTGGCCGAAGATCGTATTCTTTGCTTCGAGATTGTGTCGAAGCGCAACTGCCGCTGGCTGCTGCGATACGTAAAGTCGTCTAACGGCGAGACCGATGTTCCAGACCGGATGGCCGAGTTTATTCTTCAGCGTCGTCGTTGGCTAAACGGTAGTTTCTTCGCTGCTGTTTATGCCATTGCGCACTTCTATCAGATTTGGCGGAGCGATCATAGCTTCATGCGAAAGTTCATGTTGTTCATCGAGTTCATCTATCAGACCATTAACATGCTGTTTGCGTGGTTTGGCATTGTAAGTAGCCCAACCCTCTCAGATGAATCATCACTAACAGGAACAGGGCAATTTCTTCCTGGTTTTTCATATTCTTACGGCGTACCTGGGCGATGACGACCTGCTGGGCACAGTTGGTAAAGTGCTTGGCGTAGTATTCGAATGGCTATACCTCGCGACCTTGGTAACTTGCTTTGTTCTGGCACTCGGTAACCGCCCCGGTGGATCGAACAAATTCTATATGACGATGGTCTATTTCTGGATTGGCATCATGATATACCTGGCATTCGCAGCGGTTTTTGTGACCGTAAAGTCGATCCAATCACAAGTACAGCAGAACGGATTCACCTTCTCGGATCTTTTCACGAACTACCAATTCTTTTCGATTATCGTGTCTCTCGGTTCCACCTACGTGATGTGGTTCCTCGCCTCGTTCATCTTCATGGACCCTTGGCACATGTTTACCTCCGTAAGTATTGCAGCTCTACCAATGTCTATATCTTCTAACCGAAACAGTTCATCCAATACATTCTCCTCACTCCGACCTACATCAACGTGCTCAACATCTACGCCTTCTGTAACACCCACGATATCACATGGGGTACGAAAGGAGACGACAAGGCCGAGAAACTGCCGTCCGCGAACCTCAAGCCCGGCGGCAAGGTGGACGTCAACATTCCCCAGGATGACGGCGATCTGAACGCGCAATACGAAGCCGAGCTGGCCAAATTCGCAAATAAGCCACCTAAGGAGGAGAACATTGTCTCCGAGGAAGACCGCCAGGCCGACTACTACAAGGGATTCCGTAGTGCGGTCGTGCTGGTGTGGGTGTTTTGCAACTTTGCCCTGGCCGCGGTGGTGCTCAGCGCGGCTGGTCTCGAGGAGTTCAGCAGCGACCAGGAAACGACGGAGAACACGCGCGCCACGATCTACATGGCGGTGGTGCTGTGGAGTGTAGCGGGATTGTCACTTTTCAAGTTCTTGGGAGCGATGTGGTTCTTGACTGTGCGGATGGTAAGTTTTCCAGACTCTGAAGATGTGAATCTCGCTAACGAGGGTTTAGTTCCGCGGTGTTTAATCTGGCGTTCTACTAGTCGGCTTAGATGGACAAAAAAGACAGACATACAGACAGCATACCGCTGCAGGCTCGGTATGGTATGATGATGACAAGCAATGATGGTTTCATGATACACGGGGCGATGGAATACCCGATTGTTGATATGATAGATAGTTCTTTAGTTTTATGTAACATATGACATATGATGCGAGGATATTGGCACTTACAACGATACAACTACAATAATGTACTCTGTAAGAAAGAGAAGCACATGGAGACAATTCTTAGCCTTGAATAGCCTTATTTAAAGGTTGCCCCTGGCTTATTTGTCAAAATCTAGCCAACATGCTATAACAACAGCATCATTGGTCTAGTGGTAGAATTCATCGTTGCCATCGATGAGGCCCGTGTTCGATTCACGGATGATGCACATCTTTTTGTGTTTTATTTTTTCCTCCCTTCAACTTCAACCAATCAACAACCACACCAACTTGAGATACTACTATACGATAACACCCCTACAAACCCATAAATCACGTTAAAGACTAATAAAAAAAGGAAAAAGCTAAGCCATAACACAAAGCGCAATCCCGCCCAACACCAACGCCATCCCCAACCACGTTTCGCGCTCAATGACCTTCCTCTCCACATACCATTCCCCGAGCACCGTGAACAAAAAGGCACTAGAGTTGGCGAGGGGAACGGTCAACGATAACTCTATACATCATCATTAGTATATCCTCACATCCATACTACTACCACATATCACCTCCAAAAATAAATTAGGTCTATGGAATAAAATAGAAAACATACCATGCTTCCCCACCAACAAAAAGAACCACACACTCCCCGTTAAATTCACAACGAGGGGGATAGAGTACGCAGGCGTGCGAAGCAAATTCACCACTGTCCAGAATAAAGTAGCGATCTTTTTGCGCAGCCAGGAGGGAGGTTTCTGCTGGTTTTGCTGCATCCATGCTGGTTGTTGCTGTTGCTGCTGCTGCTGTTGTTCTTGGTGGGTGGCTGGGGGAGGATTATCTTCCTCGCTTTCTTCCCCTCCTTCTTCGGGACGTGCTTCATCGGTGTATTCGGGAGTAACAGGTGTCAGAGGGACACTGTCATTACTGTTGATGCTGATGTTGTTATTGTCGTCCTGTTGCTGGTTTTGCTGTTGGCGGGCTGCAAAGTCCGCGGCTGCGCGCCGGATGAAAGGGGTTGTGAAGCCCCAGGCTACCCCGACTAGAAGGAAGGAGAGAATGTAGTTGATTACGGGGGGATTGGAGGGGTCTGTTTCTGGGTCCATCTTGAGAAGTTCCTTTTTCTTTTCTTTGGGGATGATGAGATGGAATCGGGTTTCGGGGATGAGAGAGATTGGGGTGTGGTTAGTTAAGTTTAAGGAGGTGTGGGGATGATGGTTGATGCATGCATGCGTGCGGCTCGGCGGGAGGCGGGACGGGCAACTGGTGGGTGGAGGTTAGGTTAGTACTTTGGTTGTTCATTGTTCTGGAACTTTTTTGTTCTGTAGGGTCGGATTGGTAGGAGAAGCAATTGAATATTATTGTAGAGGTTTGATTGGTTTGTTTTTTTTTGTTGTGAGAGTTTTCGTTGGGATATGCATAGTGGGGATACTGGGTTGTTGTACGGTATCTGGTTGAGCGGTTATAAATAATTCACCCTACTACAATACAAGCAACCACATGGAAAAATCTGAGTTCTAAAGGTCATGAATGGGTCTCGCTTATGATATAATACCACTGTAAAGACCTGCAGCTTATTGACTGGGTTAGTGTTCGGCCTGAATTGTCCTGAGCGGGAGCAGGCACCTCAACTTTCTTGAATGATCTCTGCAATACCCCCACAAGGCCCAGTACTACCCTGAGAATACTACTGCTGTGTGGTATATCTTCTAAACTACCTTCTTTTCCTAGTAGAAATACACAATTTACTCATAACATTTTCATGCTGTCTACAGCTATGATAGAATATAAATATAGTTTGTCAGACCTTCTAGACTACACTATTTAGTACCTAGATATATGATCGAAAGACATGATTCACAGCTGACGAGCCGACAATTAAGACTTTCTTCCAAAACACAGCAGTATAAATAGTAGTAAATTCGTATAAGTTTTGCTTTGCCTTTTCACCCCTACCCCCGGCCTCCCTCGAGCTAAAAGAGCTCTTTATATTTCAACAAGATACTCATAACCCAGAATCAATCTCATCCACAAAGTTTGTATTGCTAAAATCATTCCAACCTCGGCAGGTCTGTGATAAGCTGTCAGGAATAGACGTTTTATCAATTTTTTCAGGGTGCTCCTGTAAGATAATCAGCCATGTTTTCAAAATCCGAAATTGCGCGACGCAGGAGACAGAGACCACGAGAAACCCAAGTCCTCTACTGTTGTTGGGTTTGGGGGAGGATTAATCTTACCAGGATCGAGATCACAAAGCCCACGCTGGCATGATTGGACATCATTAATGAAACGGGGACCGTCGGGGGGATAGCCTGCAGTAGTCAAAGGATGGCTGTCTCTTTATCATCGAAATGGGCTCCTGGCTAGCCATGTTTAGCAACATGTCCGGAATGCTAAGCGTCGCTAGCTAGTCAAACTTGCTAGTAATGCATGGTACAATAATGGTTGATTGGCTCGATCGTTTGAGACATTAGCTGGTTGGAACCTAGCTTGGATGAACCAATTAGCGCATCTGGACTAGCCGGATTCTCTTTGTCTATAACCGAGTATAAGGGCTACTATACAAGTTTGATGTGAAAATCAGCACTAATTTAGCGCTTCGTCTTATTGCTCCTCGAGTCTTTGGAACCGTATTGTTACTTGGTGCGGTATGGTGAGCAAAATGTAAAGGCCACATTCCAGAGAGTAGATCCTTGTTTAAGTAATTCCTCGATATGGGTAAACGCGGTATCTTCTTGACTCCAAATATAGGAGTACTTATCTAGCATTTCCTCGACCTCTGAGAATCTGAACTGAACTCGGCGTCCGAATGTACTGTCCATAACACGGTTTTACCGTAATATTACTATAATACTCCGGTCAAGAAGGGGTTCGATCGAGCGGCGATCCAGACCACCCCAGCCCGGGGTAGTAGATCCACAACAGTTCCTTAGTCAAGCTGACATTAGGTAGTTAGCTACGCCGCTCGGTCCGAGAGGATGAGTGCCACGCAGAGGGCAGACCCGCCACAGCCGACAAGAAAGTAGCGCAGATACAGCCGGTGCAGGACTCCGACGAGGCCATGGTAGCGACAAAGGCAAACTAGGCCTTGGGCACAGCCTCAATGATACTGTCCCGCAAGCTCACCGTATAGGTGTAGACTTTGTTGATAGTCAGCCCAGCCTCTTCTGCCAGACGATACCACTGCTCCTCCGTACGTTCCCGGGCACCTAGGGTAGCCATCATCAACATATCCAATTGCGCCTGCTGCCAGTGAACCCCGGTGTTGGGCAGTACCATCTCGTCAATCAAGAGAAATGAGTCCGGTGCCATGGCTTCGATTGTATTTTTGATAATCTCTAGGACTTTATGGTCGGGCCAGTCATGGAAGATATTCCGCAGATAGTAAAATTTCGCACCTGATTCATACTCGGATCAGTCTCACTAAACGTGGAAAGGGGCACTAAGAGAGGGACTGTACCTTTCACAACCTGGGGTGTGAAGAAGTCATACACCTGTTTCTCCACCCCAGGGAACTCAATAGCGTGAGCTAAGGTTTGGGCAAGGTCCTGGACGATCACTCGGCCCTCCAGCTGGGGGTAGCGCTGCTTGAAGCTAATCGCTTGGTGTCCCAAGCCACCTCCAATATCAACGAACAGGGCTCTTTCAGGGCTCAGACCGGTAGCTTTTTCCAAGACTGGATAGGCGTCCAGAAAAGTAGGCATACCGGCGCGGTTAGCCATCATATGCTCAACAAAATAGCCTAGGGCCTCAGGATTTTGCTGCATATAGATAAAAGCAGGTACATCGGTGTTGAGAGCTTTTTGGAAGGGAGTTTTGACATTGTCCTGAATATCAGGATAATTGTTCTCCTTGAGCCAACTAGGGAGTACTTGAATAATCTGACCGCAGTTGTTCCACCTGATCAGTGTAAAGTTAGGTCTTATTGTACATGATAATGAGGGGTTAGACAATCGACTTACATATGACCAACCGCAGCTTGATGGCCAGATACGGCAAATGTCTTCGAAATACCCGATGCAGTGAAGGTATCTTTGGAGACTTCCTCGACTGCATAATAAGATGCCAAGTAGCGCAGGAGACGAGCTGACAGGCTTAGATTAGATCCAGTGTTGAAGAGATATTGAGCAGAGGCTTACCAAGGAAGACCGAATTGGCTCCCGTCTTCTGGCTCAGCTCATCCACAGTAAGAGGACCCTCAAGCAATAGCTCGAAGAGCTTCAGGTCAATGCCAATACGGATGCCGGCCAGTTGCATGTTCTTAACGAAGTAAAATTAGTTTCAGAACTGTATATCTCAACTTCTTGTTGTGATTGTTTGGAATGGGGGAGGGCATTGCGCAGAAAGACGTACATAGAATGTAAGTCGCTGCACAGTGTCGTCCGGAGTCTCAATTGAGACACTCAGCTTCTGTAGGGCATCCAAGACATCTTTGCGAGTCTTTTCATCACCAGCTTCGACCAGTCTGCGAACTTCTTGGGCAAGAGCTTCCATCTTTGTTCTTTGTCTAGGAGCTTAAGTCCTTGTTCTTCAAGTTCAGGAGAGAGGCTCTTTGAGAGAAAGGGGAAAGTACATAGAGATCGCAATGGAGGCGGACGGAGGGACGGATTTAAAGCTTCAAAGAAAAAGACACCGGTAAAATAAAGAAGCGGATAAAGCCGAAGCAAGCGTCGTTTGATCGAGGATCTCAAATGTCTCTATCTCACGGCGGTAGAAATATTCCGGCTAAAATCTGACAAGCAGTTGGACACTAAATTAGTGTAAGTTTCCCCCACCGGAGATTTGTGATTAACGTAGTGGAAGTATTTGACTGCAAGGCATCGTACCCCTGCGCCGCTAATTGTACGACTGATACAACACTATAACGCATGCTACAGGGGGCGTGCGCCGTTTAATTTGATATGCTTTTGGCTCGGCGCTGCGCCCAAACCACCCCCCACCATCAAGGCACATAGGCGTCAGTATTGGTCTAGCGATACTGTGTAGGGGCCATATATCACTAAATATTCTGTCCGCATCACTTACGTCGATGTCTCATTCTCTAGACTATTATGAATATTTTCGTACATTGCCAGCGTAGTCGGTTCAATCGGCAGCCCAGCCATTGCATCCCCATGAGTCTTAGTAGATGTAAGTCCACCAATTCCAAAACATCAAGAATCATTTAATCTGATCAAGAGCAACATTCTCAAAAGCCTCAGAGGCCCAGACCTGAATCGTTGGGACTGCCAATACTCTGCGGGACCTGCTTGAACACGACTCTTGTTGATTGGCTAATACTGATCTAGTAGCAGTTCATTTGATTCTCAACCAATCAGGAACTATACTCTCATAAGCAACTAAATCTCATACCATGGCACAGTATCCATGATGTAGCCAGGATGCTTCCAATCAGGGCTTCCCTCTCCATCACCAATCACCATATAGGCACTTCCATATAGTCAGGAACATATTTCAGATATTAGCTGGACAGCAATACTCTAATATTTGCATAATACCCTGCTCAGCTTCCCAACATGAACCATGCACTAAGCCCTACAGTGACTCCACTCCCCTGCACTTAACATATGCAACTTGCAACTCAAAAGATAGCAACTGGGTATCACATTCATATCTGCAATCTATCCGCACATAACGATAACTATATACAACGCAACACACCATTCATCACCACTCCACCCGATCATCATGCACCAACTGCACATCCCATCGCTCCTCCCCACGCCACACCCTTCCCGGTCGATTCCGCCCTGCCACCGCCATCCGCAGCGTGGAAATCATCCCCGCCGGACCGCTGGCGAGCACCCGTGTCGGACCATCGACCACCCGGTCCAGAAAATCCTCGACAATATTCTCAAGGTTGGGATGCTTGTGGGCCGCTGCCGCTGTCCCAGTGACTGCAGTGGCTTCAGATGAGAGGGTATACTGCACGGCAACCCCAGAGTCCGACGCACTCGCTCCCGTACAGCAGGGTGATTTCTCAAGGTCCGAGACCTCAGGTACTGGCGCTGTCTCCCGTGTGACGAAGATGCGAACTCGAAACGTGTTCGGGCGGGTGGATACCAGGCGCTGCAGGATGTCGAGCTCCGGGGCGATCCATTGCGTGTCGGCCTTGCGGCGGATGATCCAGATGAGCTCGAGGAGCTGCGTCGGTTGGCATTTGGAGGTGGAGGTGTTGCTGAGTAAATGGAGTAGTGGGGGAAGCACGAAGGTGATGCCCGTCCCGCCGGCAATGCAGAGGAGGTTGCTGCTTCCAGCGGTCGTAGTTTCCTCCATGATGGACTGGCCGTAAGGCCCACAGAGAATCACCGGGGTGGTCGGGCCGACGCTCGTCATAGTAGTGGTCTCACCGTCACTCGGTTGAGAATCTTGTGATGAGATGCGTGCGATCTGGGCCAATTCCCGCGTCAGTCCCTTCCGGGCGCGGATGATGTAGGTGTGCGGCTGGCCGGTGGGTAAAGTGTCTGGCACGCTGCAGGGGGTGAGCGGGTGGGCTTGCCACAGACTCAATTGCGGGAAGCAGAGGAAGAAGTGCTGGCCGATGTGCCAAGGGTCGTGATTATGGTGGAAGTCAAGGCGAATGATGTCGCCATCAGCCGGGTTGGGGTGCAACTGGATGGCGGCGTGTGGGATGTGCAACCCCCCAGTGGTGGACGATGTCGTGGTCGGGACGTTCAGATGATGCAGCACGAAGACGCGAATGAGGCGGATCCCTCGGTCCAGGAACCAGACCACCAGCGAGGCCAGCATCCAACAGTACAAGTGTGACCAGTGCGCCCAGCAGGCCCCGACATAGACCATGGCGACTACGTAGTGGGCCTTGCGGAAGAACTCGTAGCCCGTCAGCTGGATGCCGCGCTTAGTGCTGTGGAAGACCAGAAAGGAGAGCAGGATCATGGCCACGATGCCCCAGATAATGTACGGCTGCGCGATGAAGCTGTTCCACTGCGCGGGCTGCGGCTGGTAGAGCTTCCCCTCAACAATAGTCCAGCCGAGGGTGTGCATGGCCGACTGAATGTAGATCACCCATCCCAGCCAGCGGTGGAGGAAGTTGAAGTGGTGGTAGGGAACGCCGGTGATCAGCGAAAGCAATGACTCCCGGCTGGAGAGCAGGATGGACAATGGCGTAAGGGCGAATGCCAGCACGCCGATGCGGTCTGCCCACGGGCCCAGTCCACTGCGCGTGTTGTTGAGCGAACTGCCGCTAATGGGAGTGACCCAGGTCTTGTAGGTGATGCCCACCAGGGTGAAGACCAGCAGATACCCGGAGAGAATCAGGAAGATGAGGACTTGCAGACGTGTGGTATGTCCAAACACCCAAGGCAAGGTTTCCGGGAGCAGATGTCGCCGGACAAGCGCCTGGGTTGTTCGCGAAAGACGGTAGGGAGCACTCTGGCGGATGGGCTTGGGCGAGGAGGACCTGACCACAGATCGATCAAACCGAACGAGGCGTCCTCCCAACGCCCAAAGAAACAATATTCCCACGATTACCGCCCACAGAATGAAGCTGTAGAGCATGCTGACATCGTGGCCGTGATAAACCGCGTCCAAATAGGCGCAGGTACCGGCATCTTTGGTGCAGGGGACCTGGCGGGCAACATACCCCCAGTGATATTCCAGGGAGGAATCCTGGGAGAAGTCCTGGATATGTCCCATGGTGGAGGAAGTGTAGCGGGGATGGAAATTTGCAGTTGTGCTCGAGCCGGTGGCAGAGGCCATATCTATATCCTCATGATTGGGGGTGGATTCGTCGCGGTGGAGTCGCCAAGGCCAATATCTGCTCATCGCCAAGCATCGTACGTGATAATCTGCTCATTTCACGCCTCGTATAAGTAGACCGTGCGATTCCCCTCTCCATTGGTCCCCCCAAACTGCAA